TCATTTTTTGTATGTCAACAGATTTGAACAAAGTTTTTTCTCATCAATGATCAAATTTTCGGCACGTGAAAAGTGTCAATTTAGGTGTACACGTGTTTACAAGTAGCTTACTTCTCTAGTTAAAACACGCTTCTTTGGTCGTAGGTTTAGATTTAGAGGTCTAGCCAGAGTGGCCACATGGCATGGCATGAATAGGCGATGATGTGAGCCTTGGATTGTGCTTCTTTCTGAATAATATTAGCCATCCATTTTGGATCAATGGCCGAGGTTAATTCTTGTGCGTTAAAACGTTTCTGAGTGTGTAGATTCATTCATTCGGTCGAGTTAATTGTTTCGTTGGCCACCGAACTTAATACCATGTCACGGCCTACCCACTGAACTTCATCAATTGTCCAGTTGGCCACTGAACTTTCCTCCGTCCATCTCCATCACTCACTCGTTTGAATCTGTTAGTAAACGGTCCTACATGGNTCAATTGTCCAGTTGGCCACTGAACTTTCCTCCGTCCATCTCCATCACTCACTCGTTGGAAACTGTTAGTAAACGGTCCTACATGGCAGACGGAAAATTGACATGGCAAGTGAAATCCGTACAAATGTAAAATGTTTGCCAACTAGAATTCCACCTTCGTCCCAAAAGCTTGAAGTCAGTTAACCCGTTCCCACTTCTCTCTCGCCCTAACTCCTCAACGAAGAACACGGCGGAAATCCCCAAATTAATTGGCCAAGCTCCATCTCTAAAACCCTACGAATGACTATGAAATTCACCCCAGCCCACCTCTAAACCCATAGCCCCAATTTTCCCCAAAAGTTGAAGCACCACTAAACCCAGCTCGTCTGTTGGAGTAACCAATTTCTGATTGAGTGAGTAAATGGCATGCTACCGAAGGTGGAATTGTACAGGTAAAATCTGGGAATGCCTAATTGCTGCAATAGCACCCGTCTCAGTTGTAGAAGAGACAAGGGCAGTCAAAAATTTTGCTACCGTAAGCACCATCATCAATTGGAAAGAATGAGGACCGTAGTATGTCCAGCCATTGAGCAGATGAGTCAACCCACAGAGGACTATAAATGCAAATCTCTCAGGAATTAGGCATGTACATTTTAAACATATTGTTCCAAATGACAGCTTTGGTATATATTTTGTATGGAATTCTATGATGTTAATCTTGAGGAATTGTATGATATTAATCTGCTTTCATATGAATGTCTTGAGGTTCTTGAAAATGTGAAGAAGGCTGCCCATGAATGAAAAATGAAAAATCAGATGAATCTGGTGAATCTTCTAATTGAGCTGAATCTGGTGAATGCAGGTGAACCTGCTGGTTTGCAGGTGAATTGAGATGAACTTGATAATGAAAAATGAAAAATTGCAGGTGAATCTACAGGTGAAATTTGAAAAATGTATGCTAATTGCAGGTGAATCTGCTGGTTTGTTGCTGAATTTGTATTGTTTTTCTGTGATTAAAGTGGTATATTTGTACTACATGGACCAAACAGGGAAATTAAATTCAATAAATTGCCTCATGTAACAAGCATAGAGTAGAATTCACACTTTGTTCTTCCCCTTATGTTCAGAGATTCATTACCAGAACTCTATTTTCCAATGTGCACACCACAGATTCAGAGATTCATTACCAGTATATTCATAATGTGCACACCACAGGTTCAAGCATTTAAATTACAAACATTAATTCCAAATCCATGGGATTAACAATGAATACCAATACTAATATATTAAAAGTGCACTGTGAGACATAAAAATCAGATTGAATCAATGAATTTCTATTTTAACATCATCCTGTTACAATCTAACAAACTTATTAATTTGATACAAAAATGTTTCTTTTCAACGATCTCAATCTCTGCATGAATCCGATACCAATCTTTAAATTGTTCTAAAGCATCGTCCTTAAAATTATTGACTCTCACAAGACAAAAATGAGTACGAAAGAATCCCCTTTGTTTCAGCCCCAACCTCAAAATCTTCCAAGCAAACAGACCATTGCATCGCTTTCTCAATTTTCACAGTGGGCAATGCTTCTACTGCCTCGTTTTGAGCCAGCAGCGTTCCATATTTGTTTAGATCATTCTCAGCCAAATGCTGCAGCAACAAGTCTAAACCAGGACCCATGAAATAATCACCCAGCGAGCCACTAGGAATGCAGTTTTGGTGGCAGTTATTAGGATCATAAGAACCCTGAATTGTGATTGTTTGATTGAAGGGATTGATCAAAATCATATCGTCTCTGCTCCAGCTCGAATACCTTGGAAGAGTTGGATAATTGTAGCTGAGCTTCTCCTCCTCCTCCTCATTATTGACTCCATTTCACGATAAAAAATTTTACCNCCTTGGAAGAGTTGGATAATTGTAGCTGAGCTTCTCCTCCGCCTCCTCATTATTGACTCCAGTTCACGATAAAAAATTTTACCTGTACAATTTTTATGGTAGCAAAAAATTTGATTGCCCTTGTCTCTTCTGCAACTGAGACGGGTGCTATTGCAGCAATTAGGCAATCCCAGATTTTACCTTTACAATTCCACCTTCGATAGCATGCCACTAACTCAGTCAATCAGAAATTGGTTACTCTAATAGACGAGCTGGGTTTAGTGGTGCTTCAACTTTTGGGGAAAATTGGGGCTATGGGTTTAGAGGTGGGCTGGGGTGAATTTCATAGTCATTCGTAGGGTTTTAGAGATGGAGCTTGGCCAATTAATTTGGGGATTTCCATCGTCTTCTTCGTTGAGGAGTTAGGGTGAGAGAGAATTGGGAACAGGTTAACTGACTTCAAGCTTTTGGGACGAAGGTGGAATTCCAGTTGGCAAACATTCTACATTTGTATGGATTTAACTTGCCACGTCAATTTTCCGTCTGCCATGTAGGACCGTTTACTAACAGATTCAAACGAGTGAGTGATGGAGATGGACGGAGGAAAGTTCAGTGGCCAACTGGACAATTGATGAAGTTCAGTGGGTAAGCCGTGACATGATATGAAGTTCAGTGGCCACTGAAACAATTAACTCGATTAATTTGTCCACTTACCTGATTCTGAATGGTTTTGACCAACTTTTCTTGGCAACATAATACGTGCACACTTTCCAAATTGGGGCAATCGAGTACTAATCTCTCTGGCGTCGAATGAACTAAAATTATCGAACTTGAGTTAAAAGAAAAAACTTCAATATTTTGGATTGCGCTGCAAGAACATTAAAAGTATCTACCTGGATGTAAATGTCCACATGAGTTGAGGTTCAAATCATCAAGTTCACGGCAATTCAAATGTGTCAATGCGTCCAAGTCATTCCAGAAAAACAGTCTGGAATGTCGTGCAGTGGACAAGTATTTACTGATAATGTGTAATCTTAATCCTTGCAGGAATTGATGTTAACTCTTCTGAGCTTGTGGGTGACGATGGTGTGTTTGGGGAAATGTTAGGAACACAAAATGAGATTATCGTGCCTGAAGTTGGTATGAAATTTGCGAATGAGAACGAAGTATTTGAATTCTACGAGAGATACGCTTATCAAATAAGTTTTCCTGTTAGAAAAATAAACTCAACAAAGGGAGATGACGGGATCATACGATATGTGAGTTTTACTTGTAATCGAGAATGTCGACGAAATCATAAGAATAGTACATCTCTTAAGCCGACACCTACAATTCAAATAGGGTGTAAAGTCAGGTTGACTGCGTGTTCTGATGTTTGTGGAATATGGTGTATAAACGTTCATTTAGAGCATAACCATAAAACAAGCCCATCTAAATCTAGGTTGTATAGATGCAATCGACAAGTTAGTGAACGCATTAAAAAACGGCTTGAGGTAAATGAGCAGGAATACCCGTGCATAAAAGCTATAACTCAGCTGTAATGGAGGCAGGTGGATTTGAGTATATGACATGTGTTGAGAAAGATTGTCGAAATTTCATCAACAAAGTGCGGCGTTTAAGACTCGGGGAAGGGGACGCTGCTGCAATACAAGCTTACTTTTCGAAAATGCAAGCACGTAGTCTAGATTTTTATTTCTGTATGGACTTGGATGAAAATTGTCACCTAAGAAATGTGATTTAGGTAGATAATCGTTGTAGAGTATAAGGAATTTGGCGATGTCGTCACTTTTGACACCACGTACCTCACGAACAAGTGTGATATGCATTTTGCTCCTTTTGTAGGGGTTAATCACCATAGGCAGTCAACTTTATTTGGATATGCTCTAGTATCGAACGAAGATACAAATACATTTGTTTGGGTATTTCAGACATGGCTTGAGTGCATGTATGGTCTCGCTCCCAATGGAATTATTACAAATCAAGACCGAGCTATGCAAAATGTCATTCAAATAGTGATCCCTAGAACTAGGCATAGATGGTGCTTGTGGCATATTTTAAAAAAGTTGCCTGAGAAGTTCGGCTATCAAAGTGAAAAAGGGTCAATACTTTATGCTATACATCGGTTAGTGTATGACACGCTCGGTTGCAAAGAATTTGAGGAAGGTTGGTTGAACATGGTTGAACATTTTGAGTTGCAAGACCATGATTGGTTGACTAGCATTTATAATGAGAGAAGTCGTTGGGTGCCATACTATTTGAAAATCACATTCTGGGCAGGCATGTCGACCACCCAACGAAGTGAGAGCATGAATGCTTTTTTTGACGGCTATGTGCATTCAAAAACATCTTTAAAGCTTTTCGTAGAACAATACGAGTGTGCATTGAGAAGTAAAGTTGAGGAAGAATTTCAGGCTGATTTTAAATCATTCTCGCAAATGATTCCTTGTGCTACAAAGTATGATATGGAGAGGCAGTTCCAGGAAGTGTACACACAAACAAAATTCAAGGAGTTCCAACAAGAATTTACTGGAAAGGTTTATTGTGAAGTACTATCTTC